AATTTTTGCAGATGGATCAGGATTAATGGACAGAAGGAATGGGTTATCATCAGGCTAACATCTTACCCACCATCTCGTGGCCAGATTTCACTACAGAATATGAAACTAAGTGCTTAACGTAACTTTGACGTTAAATATCTCGTGAATTATCGATCCTGCCTGCCTCCAATTTCGCGAATTACATCCGACTATGTGTGTGTGTGTGTGTCAAAAGACTAACGGCCAACATATCTCTCGCTCATCCAGCATTAATCTGAGAGGGCACAGCAGAGGGTTAATCTTCGTATCAGAGGGTTCTACGCGAAGTGCTTTGAAAAGAAACGTCTCGTGCATCTTAGGCCACTTCACTTAAGTAGAATCTTCGTTGTCACGAGTTGATGTTAAGTCTGAAGAACGAGGGTAACGATGCAAAGATTTACGTGAAGTTGAATTTTTATTCTTCCTTTTATTATTATTATTATTATTATTGTTGTTGTTGTTGTTATTGTTGTTATATTAATATAACGGAAAATTAATTGCAGATTCAATCGTGTAACGATCGACTTTATTGCTTTATTATATATATATAATAAATCCATCGTTGAAATCTTGTTAATGCACGTCTCATTTCAAGGAGTTGGTTAATAAGTTGTTTCTCGATTGTTGTCACTCAAGAGAATAATGACGATGAGGTCGGAAATTAGCTCCAATTGCTTCGAGTATTTATGCGTTTGTAATGAATGGACTTACGTTTTGAAACGCAGCAATTTAATCGTGGACGATTGTTAAGTATAATATCAATTACACTCTTCACTATATAAATATCTAAATATCTATGTATATCTAATACGTAAACTAATGAATTTAATTAATTATATTTAAGGAGAATGTCAATTAAATGATCAACTTATTGCTATTATTAATGATAGTAATTCTAAGTAATTCTTTCTATATAAGATTGATAAAACAATTCAGTGATGAAGATAGAATCTGATTTGAGAAAAATTCAATAGATTCTCAAATACGTTTTTAATTTTGCTTCTAAGTTTAAAATACAAGGTATGTATGTCAAGCACTACTTAGAGAAATAATTTCAAAGAAATTTTACTCAAAATTACATAAAATTCCAAATGGTATGAAAAATATTAATTGTCACAATTAACACAGTTAAATAGTGTTGTAAGTTTAAAACACATTTTTAATTTCGTTCCATTTATTTCTAGATTTGGTCCACACTCAATGATTATAAACTACAACAAGTGTTGTATTTCACTCGTGCAATCATTCAGACTTGTTTCTATTCAAACTTCACCATGTTATACTGATTGTTTTCCTTCACAATTCCTATCTATTTTGCAGCCTCTCTTCTATATTCTATACGTTCAACTTCACCCTATCTCCCTTGAGAAAAGAAGATAGAGGCGAAAACTGTCCAATAACAGTGAAGTGAATACAATGAATTTTTAAAAGAATCGATTATCCATATATTCTATGAAGTGAAAGTTCATCGTCGATCATCAATGCCTACCAATTATACAAGTTCGTTCCATATTAATTCGCACCAATCCTCGAATCAAGGATATTCTAATTATTGTCAAGCAGTGAGAGATGATCGTTTCTCCTGAATTCTTCAGGGTCAACTTATCAACTTACTTAAATTCTTATCATTAATAATTGCATCTAACATTCTTGTTTTCTTAGAGTATCTTCAAATATTTCCAAGATCCAAATTTTTCTTTAGAATTTTATAGTCAGTATTTTCTTCACTTTTTAAGATATTTCTTAAAATATATTTCAAGTTTTAGTTTCAAAGTTTTTCTTTAGAATTTTATATTTAGCATTTTTTTTTTTAAAGTATTTTGAGATATTTGAAGTTGCAAGTATTTTTTTTTTTTTAAGATATTTAAGTAAAAGTCTTCTTCTCTTTGAAAATATTTGAAGTTTCATATGTTTCACTTTTAACTAAACTAAATTTAGAAAATCCACTTTGAAAGGATCTATCGAATATTTTTGCTCGAGATTAACGATTATTTAAAACTAAACTTGGTTTTTTCTTTCAGGAAATAAGGATCGAAACTTCTCTCTGATTACGATTTCTTAAGAATTCTGGTCGATACGTTTAAAAAGATGTTGGTCGTTGAAGAAGGCAGAAGCCTGGATTGAGATAGCAACGACAGACAGCTATTAAGGTCAACAATGGATTTCAGGAAAAATCGATAGACCGGATAGGACAACCCTCGATGGATATCGGTCTGTTTAGAATCAAGGGTGCATACGAGCAGTGCCTTTTTTTAATTCCTTTCGCCATTTTCCTTTAAGATTGCCATGCTACGTAGCAAATAATAAGGTGGAAACGGTGTTAAAAGTCTATTATTGGCAAAACATTGTTTAAGATTCCTCATTTTATTTCAATTTTTTGTTAGTACTTCTTTTTTCATTTTTTAAAGTATTTTAGGATTATTTGTTTCAAGTCTTTCTTTAGAATTTCGTAGAGCAGCAATTTTCTTCATTTCTTAAAAGTATCTTGAAATATTTGAAATTCCAAGTCTTTCTTCTACAATGTTTTTATTACAATTTATTATTTCCTTTATTCTTCAAGACACGTATTTTGAAATATTTAAAATATCAAGTTTTTCTTTAGAATTTTATATCCAGCATTTTCTTCTACTACAATTTATTCAATTTTTTTATTATTTTATATTATCCATGTTTTTCCTTACTTTACATCATAGACTTTCTTCCAATGAAGAATTATTTATTTGAAATTGTATTAACAATTCAGAAGAATTGATATTTGATTATTGTTACAGTCAAAGTGGAAATACATTTGATTTACAGTTAAATATTTTTTAACAAATTACATTGAGAGTAATTTTGCAAATAATCTGAAGAGAAAAATATGATATTACTCTGAAATATATTTACATTCTTAATTATTAATTTCAACAAACGATAGATCTGGTTTTAATTTAGTTAAATTCTTTTTGGACGATGCACAAGAGATGTATGCTGTGAAGTGTCAAAAACTGTTGATGGCTGGCGGCCAATAAGCCAACAAAAAGGGGAAAAGAGAGAAATAGCCCGGGTACCAGGAAACAATAAGGTGGTCGAGGCTGATATCTGCTTTGTACTTGTATGAAAATTCCATTTTAAAGTTAAATATCGTTACCAAAATTTTACCACGTGAATGGATAAAGATGGATTGAAATTGTGATCGAGGCTGTTTGAATATGAAAAATTTGGACAGAAAGGTAGAAAATTGATATCTTATTCTAAACTATCTTTTTAAATAGAAAAATGCTTAATAAGAAAGTAATATATAAAAGGAATTCAATTATTAAAATTGTGTTTCTGAAATTGTAGAGATTAGCCTCTTTGCTTGTTGTTGCATTTAAGGCTGAACTTGAATCCTTGTATGAAATTGGATGAAATTCAATCGTTGGTCGCTTTTTATACTTCTTGTGCAGTCGTTTTCCACTCGATAAAACAATCTTTGTAGTATTAATGATATTCTACCATTGTAATTTCTGTATATTTTTTTTTTTTTATTCCACTCCAATTCTATTCTTTCATACTTGCTCGTTCAATTACTTCCTCATCCAGACAATCATTACATACATGCTTCGGCTCAACATCGAGTCTGGTACGTCTTAAAGTTTGCCTAAATTATTTTTAGAATCGTATTGCTAGAAAATCAAACCACGATTCGACCTATTACACGAAACTGTCCACCACTTTATTGAACTTCACGCTCTCGATTGAATTATTTGTACGTGTATTGGAAATTATAATTAATTTGATAAACCAAATTAAAATCCACTATACGTTACAATATACGCACAATGAAATAATTAATTGATAAATAATTACAGAGGCAAACTTCAAATTAAAAGGTATAATTTTTTTTATTTATAATTAAATTCAAATTAATTATAAATTCCAATTATAAAAGCAACCTGTTTTAATCCCATTCCCTCTATCGATCAAATTATATAACTCGTCTTAAATTTTATCTTACAAAACACCAAAAAAAAAAAAAAATAATCTCATTTCAAATTATTAATTATTAATTATCGAAAATTAAATTCGAAAAAATAAATTCGCACGTATTTCTTTCAGGTATTCAATATCACATCGCACGCAGAATCAGAAAGTAATGATCTCGTTTACGGGGATATTTTATAATGATCAATATACGATTTAAAGTGGAGAACATGTTGCATCGACAATAAGATACGCGCTTGGCAACACGATTGACACACGACACCGTCGCCTCGTTTATTAAATATCGATACACGCTCGCTTGTTAGCTCGATAAAAATTTTTAAACGGCGGGGAACAGTTGTGATTAGAATCGCACGAAGCCCTTCGTTCGACATCGTTAACCTGTCGCTGGAACATCCTGTATGGATCCCTGTGATCCTGTCGTTACGGTACCCCAATCCAGTCAATTTCATAAAAGCTGTTTTCAACGCTGTTGTTTCAAATCATCTCGATTTAACAAATTTAACAAGAATATTAAAATTCTTATTGGATTATAAATAAATGAAAAAAGATTGATATGAAACTCTTCTGGATCTTATAGATGATAGATCTTAAATGTTTAAATGCTAAAATAGATTTTAAATTTTCTAATTTCCAATGAATTTGTCTCTCTGTTGAAAATTTATTGAAACGATTGGTAAATCTATTCGAATTTAGAATTAAGAATTCCAATTCAATGAACTCTCCCAGATCTCGTTAAATCCGTATACAATCCTCCTAATTCTAATTTAATCAACTTTCCTAGATGGCCTAAAAAAAAATTTCTACAAAACACTACAAATAATTTCTCACTTTTGTTTCAATTAAAACAAAAATCAAATTCAAATTTTCTGATTCCCCTTGTATCTCGCTGACACAAACTTTCAGATCGTGTAGAAGAGATAAAGGAGCATGCATAGGAACGATTTAATGATATAAAAAAATATAAAGATCAAGATCAGAATTAAAAAATTGCATAAAAGTGTGTACACACTCACGCGAAGTAACCCTTGCCCTCTGCTCCCGGCAACATCTCCTCCTGGTTAAAAAAACCTGCACCAAACAGGAGAGGAAACGGATCACCGATGGATCACCAACGGAGAAAGATAATCGGAGAGAGAAATCACACGCGTGAATAACCGATTTTTAAACACGCGAATCGCAATCCTCACTTGAGCGAAAGAACGAACGAAGAGAGGGGAGGCGGGGGAGGGGGGGGAATGGCGGATGGATGGATGGATGGATGGAGAGAGAGTGAGTGAGTGAGTGAGTGAGAGAGAGAGAGAGAGAGCGAGCGAGCGCGCACGTTCGACACGTTGGTGGAAGGAACGAGGGCTCGTTCGTGACTGGTTAAAGGCCAGTCGGTTGTGCAGCTGGAAGCGGGGCGTGCGCCCTCCGCAGAATCAAACTTTGCCTCCACTCGAGGAAATTCACCACGGGCGCTGCGTCGCCTCCCCCCCTCGGCCACCCACGAATCCGGCTGGCTGCGTGGCCCGTCACCTGTCTACTGGGTGGTGCAACCCAACCGGGACGTGTCTCGTTTGATCGGCGTTAAAACAGGCCTAGGCGGGGTTGCCCGATGAAATCTGGCCATCATCCCCCGTGAAAATTTCATGTTTTAGACGGTGGAGGCAATTTTCAATGAGATTGAATTGTATACGAGCGCGTACAAGGTATATAGTGTGAAGTGTGCGAAGAATGGAGTATGGAATACGGAATATAGAGTGTAGAGTATAGAGAAGAGCGTATGGAGGAGCGTGGAATGTAGAGTGTGTGTTTTACGAATGTTATCCATATTTCTCTGGCAATGTATTTACGGTTTCATTTGATTATTTATTTGTTGGAATTCTCAATGGAAATTGAATTGTATATACGAGCGTAGATTGGGAGATGTAGGGTATAGAACGTGAAGTATGGAATATAGAGTATGGAGTACGAAGAAGAGCGTATGGAGTATGGAATGTAGAGTATATTAGAGTCCTTTTACGAACGTTATCCGTTTCTTGGCAATGTATTTATGTTTCATTTGATTATTTTAGCCGGAATTCTCAATGGTATTGAATTGTATTGCGAGTGCAGAGTGTAAGATATAGAATATGATATATAAAGTGCTGAGAAGAGCGTATAAAATATGGAATGTAAAGTGTATTACAAATATTATCTGTATTTGATTATTTTAAATAGAATTTTCAATGGAATTGAATTGTTTTGCGAGTATACTAGTGTAGAGCGTAGAGTATAGGATACAGAGTATGAAGTATAGAGAATGAGTATGAAGTATAGGGTACAAAATATAGAATAGAGTATAGAGGATGTATTTATGTTTCATTTGATTATTTAAAGAAGTTTGTTTCCTGAAGATTTTATATTTTGAAATTTGATAGTGACAAGTGGAAGAATAATTTTTAATAATATTTAGCTTTTTCTTAATGGAAATTGAATTATGTATTATCAATTATATGCAAGTTTTTAAGAATATAACGTATATTGGAAATAATTATATTAAACATAGAAGAACATTTTATTTGATCATGAATGAGAAGGAGAGTAAAATGGTTGAGTATAAGTTGGATATAATATAGTAAGGCAGTAAATTCGCCAAGTAGTTTTGATCCGATCAATTAATGTCTAAAGTAGTTCCGCCTTTAAATCGGTTGGCGAAACAGGCTGTAATTTCACTGTGTGATTCGTTCTTGGAAACAAGTGCCGAGCAGTAGCATTTCAACTATTTAATGAGAAAACGGTTCTTAAGGAGCGAAGAAAATACTTGACGACGCTTTTTGCTTATTTTTAAAAGATATAAAAAACACGATAATTATAATAATCGTATTATATTTACATTTTTATACGTTGCGTGTATAATTTATATTTATTTTTCAGGGTAAAATATTCAAATTTATCACTTGAAACATCAAGAAATGATAATTTGTAGAAAAGTTATTTAAAAAACGTAAGTATATAGAAGGTAAGTATTTTAGAATTAAGAAAACTGAAAAAAACATGCAATATTGCATGTAAAAAAATGATGGCTATAAAAGGTAAGTATAGAAGGTAAGTATCTCAAGGTAAGTATAAAATATGTGTAATTTAAATATAAAAAATTTTCTTAGAATTGTAACAAAAAAAAATTTGCATATCACATTTGCGAATTATTGACAATTCTCTTGTTACAAAGTCGAAAATTCGGATGAAAATTCTCGGAATTGGAATTCCTGGAAAAATTTCTCGAACGACCTCCTGTCGACTCATGTTCTCCTAATACAAAGTCGAATTTTCGACCAAAATTTCGTTCGCTCGATCCATTCGGAAATTTCCAAGAATTTGACGTCACTTCCAAGAATTTTAGAAATTCTGAGAATTTGACGTCACTTCCAAGAATTTTAGAAATTCCGAGAATTTGACGTCACTTCCAAGAATTTTAGAAATTCTGAGAATTTGACGTCACTTCCAAGAATTTTAGAAATTCTGAGAATTTGACGTCATTTCCAAGAACTGACGAAATTCTTGGAAAAATTTCTCGAACGACCTCCTGTCGACTCATGTTCTCCTAATACAAAGTCGAATTTTCGGCCAAAATTTTGTTCGCTCGATCCATTCGGAAATTTCCAAGAATTTGACGTCACTTCCAAGAATTTTAGAAATTCCGAGAATTTGACGTCACTTCCAAGAATTTTAGAAATTCCGAGAATTTGACGTCACTTCCAAGAATTTTAGAAATTCTGAGAATTTGACATCATTTCCAAGAACTGACGAAATTCTTGGAAAAATTTCTCGAACGACCTCCTGTCGACTCATGTTCTCCTAATACAAAGTCGAATTTTCGGCCAAAATTTTGTTCGCTCGATCCATTCGGAAATTTCCAAGAATTTGACGTCACTTCCAAGAATTTTAGAAATTCCGAGAATTTGACGTCACTTCCAAGAATTTTAGAAATTCCGAGAATTTGACGTCACTTCCAAGAATTTTAGAAATTCTGAGAATTTGACGTCACTTCCAAGAATTTTAGAAATTCTGAGAATTTGACGTCATTTCCAAGAACTGACGAAATTCTTGGAAAAATTTCTCGAGCGACCTCCTGTCGACTCATGTTCTCCTAATACAAAGTCGAATTTTTGGCCACAATTTTGTTCGCTCGATCCATTCGGAAATTTCCAAGAATTTGACGTCACTTCCAAGTAATTTTAGAAATTCCGAGAATTTGACGTCACTTCCAAGAATTTTAGAAATTCTGAGAATTTGACGTCACTTCCAAGAATTTTAGAAATTCTGAGAATTTGACGTCATTTCCAAGAACTGACGAAATTCTTGGAAAAATTTCTCGAACGACCTCTTGTCGACTCATGTTCTCCTAATACAAAGTCGAATTTTTGGCCAAAATTTTGTTCGCTCGATCCATTCGGAAATTTCCAAGAATTTGACGTCACTTCCAAGAATTTTAGAAATTCTGAGAATTTGACGTCACTTCCAAGAATTTTAGAAATTCTAAGAATTTGACGTCATTTTCAAGAACTGACGAAATTCTTGGAAAAATTTCTCGAGCGACCTCCTTTCAACTTATGTTCTCCTGATACAAAGTTGAAATTTCGATTGGCAAGAATTTTTGCTACAATTTTCGATTTTATATTAGGAGAATATAATATAAGAGGAGATGGCACGCGAAATTTTTCCCACTTTTTTAAAATTTGAAATTTTTGTATTTCTGTAAAAGTTTTTAACTAAATTGAGAAAACTAAATTTCAAGATTTTTTTATTAGGAGAATAGAATGTGAGAAGAGGTAGCATATTTTAAAAAATTTTCTAAAATATACTTACCTTTTAACTTACCTTTAATATACTTACCTTTAAATCTGCCATAGATTTCAGATATTAAACATTTTTTCAACATTTTACTTATTTTTCTAGAATTTAATTTATTTATCTTCTTTATACTTACCTTTATACTTATCTCTTTAATCTGCCATATTTGCAAGAATTAAACATTTTTTTATCGTGTTATGCTTTATCTTGAGAATCGAGAAATGTATAGAATGATCGATATACAGGGTGTGAATAATTTCTGAAAATGGATCAACGAAACAAAATTATAATCCGATTAATATTTTTTCATGGTAAATAAGTGAGCTTATCTTTAACAATACTGTACCACTTTTTTTTTTATATATCTAAATATTGTATCTAAAATTTTATACGATTTATTGATCATAGTTTTAAAGAATCAACGTAACGAAGTTTTGAAAAGTGTGGGCTGCAATATTTCAAAAAGAATGACCTAAACACCCTATCGAATATTAACGTCACTACTTAACAATATTAGCTCCACCCACACATAAACTACTTAAACGAACTCATAAGACTGAACAAACAGATCGAACACGAGGGTGAAACATAGTAATCAAGTAATTCGTTCAACAAATGTTACTTTATTAGACAAAACATATGATTAAAATTAAATATCTCAATAATTTTTTTCAACAATTAATACTAACCCTTTTATCAATAAACAAAACTATCCGAAAGATTCGAAAAAAAAAATTGTTTCGAAATTTCTGAAAAGATAATTCTAATTAAAAAAAAAGAAAAAAATATGATAAAATTTTTTTCGTCTCGTATATATCGAAACGCTTGTTACCTCTGATATAATAGATAAAATATAATAGAAAACATATACAGTTGAAAATTTAAAGCTGGCCCCGGCATTGTACTTGAACGATCTTGCTCTATAATAGGATGAACAGTGATATAGAGTGTTAAGTCATGATCATTCGGACATTGGCCATCGTTTATTTATGCGCGGATGCTCGCGAAACATCGAGCAGGTGATCGACGTCGTGATATCGTCAGTTCCTTTCGCAGTTCGATCGATCTTCTTCCAAGTTTAGTTCTCTATTCTCGAAGTTCGAAGGAATTTCCTCGAGTTGTCGCGTTGCTCAATAGGTAAGCAGAAAACACTTTCTCATTGTCTCGCGATATTCGAGTTGCAATTGAGACTGTAAAATTTTCGATAATTTTCGACTCGTGCGCGAGAGGTTGAAGAAAGTGGCGCTTCGATCGCTCAATTTTCACGAACACTCGCAATTAACTTTCATTCTTCATTCGTCGTCGAATCCGATTTTTAAGAAACTTTTTCACAACTTCGTTATAGATCGAATTGTAGAGCAATTGGTTTATTATTGATTGAAAGATTTGTTTTTTTATTTCTCGTTACAGAGATCGATCTTTTGATATATCGAAGAAATCATTATGGTGGACGTTGACATAAAACTCTCGAGAAACAACGAGAACCAAGCCTGGGGCTTTCGATTATCCGGAGGAGCTGACTTTGCTTTTCCCTTGACTGTCGTCAGGGTAACGTATCGCACGTATACATAAAAATTAACGTTCGTTCGAATCGTGACACGCGTACAAAATTTGCTTAATAATTTCCATTAATATCTCGTATTATCGTACGATAATAAAATCAAATAAATCGTTTTCTTGAACTCGTATCACGCGATCATTAGGTGTAATAGGCCATTTGTTGCGTATTTAGAACAAATTTTCGCGTAAAATATTCAGATTTGGTGCTTTAGAGATTTTTATCGACACTACGATTCGTATCGAATCGCGTAACCTCGTTTTCCCTCGGCCTGAATCCTGTGCTCGGTCCAAGGGAATATCGTTCTTTGAAAAGGGAAGAAATCATTAATCGAATCATAGATAAGGAAAATACTCGCGTATTCTTTGAGAACCTTTGCAAATTTTGATCGACGATCGTTTTGTCGTTTGCTTGCATTATTTCCTTTTCGTATTTTTTTTTTTTTTAAAACATTGATTTCGAAGGAGGATTAATTTCCTTTCTATCGAACGTAAATTTTATAAATTATAATAATTATTATGGAATTTTTAAAAATTTTTAGTTTTCAATTTTCAAGAGAATTATTTTAATATAAAAAAATAATAATAATCGTAAAATATTTATGTGAAATGGCAATTTAATTGATTAAAATATATTTTCTTCTTTACAAGGTACTCCTCGGAGGATTAGCCGATAAGGCGGGTTTACAAGCTGGCGATATCGTGATCAAAATAAACGGGGAAACTGTGCAGCATTTGAGGCATGTCGAGGTTCATGATCGCTTTGTCAAAGCTGGAAACGAAATTATGCTGTCTGTCGTGCGAAATTTAAAAATCGAACGAAAAGTTTAACGAAAATGATTATCGACACGTGTCTTGCTACGAGATATCGAGCGAGTATTCTTTGCGCGAACGATACGATCTTATCGAAAGAATTATTTTAATGTTGTTAAATAAAATAATGTGCCTTTTTCCAAATATTTCCTCATTTTGAATTGAGTTAATCGTTAATATATACCTATAATTGGAAACTGTAATATAAATATTATCGTTTGTTGGCCGATCTTCATGATGATTCTGGCATCGGTAATCAAGGTCCGTTAAAACAGGATTGCAACATCATGTTATCGTTACGTGTCACCGATTGACCCACATTGCAAAATACAATTTGTCAACTATTGATCCGGCCTCCTCTACGATCTTACCTTTTATAACAATGAGTCATCGGTTTGTTAAAATGACGTTTTAAATACAAATTTAATTAACCGTTACGTTTCAATGATAAATCGAGATCTGAAAATTATTTCGTGGACTTGTATCATAGACGAAATACAAGAGAGTAAATTTCATGGAATCCAATATTCTATAATACATATCGATCACAAAAAAAATTACAATATTTGGTATATATTGTATGATTTAGAATGATGAGTGCGGAAATTGTATTCAATTCAACGACAAAGATTGATAAAATCAAGAAATTTTAAAAGTAATTTTTTTAATATGTTCTCTCGTAAATATTTTTATGCGTTACATACGTTGGATTGCACAGATTGCATAGATTTTTTGACTGCTACAAATAATTAATAATAAAGTTAATTATAACATATCGAAACTGTTTTTTAACTGTACAAGTACTGAACATGTGTAGACAAAGAGAACAAATAATTGAAGAAGGATAGAGATATGGTAAAAATTGTGGAATCAGCGCCATCTTCAGAGTGCCGCAAATGAAACTCAATACACAAGGATAGAAAATAGTAAGAGAAAGATAGAGATAGGGCAGGAATTAACAGTTAGCGCCATCTCTTAGATAATAGAGGAAGTTTTTCAAAGAATCTTTTTAGAAACATTCACGAGATGGCGTTAATAGCCAATTCTCGTTCTACCTTACCCTGTCTTTTAAAGAAGGTGTCTATAGTCCTCAAAAGATGGAGCTAACTGTTAATTCTTATACTATCTCTATCCTTCTTCTACTATTTTCTATCCTTTCTTTATATGTTTCATTTACGGCACTCTAGAGATGGCGCTGATTCCACAATTTTTATTCTATCTCTGTCCTTTTCCTATTATTTGTTTTCTTTGTCATACTCGTTCTTAGCGCGTAGACAAAATATAGGATATCAATTGTACACACTTTTATCGTTTCTTTTTTAAAATCATAGTGTATCTCGACGTTTAATGTAAAAAAAGATTATATACATGAGATATATATGGGATTATAATTTGCATAGTATAATATATAATGATATTGTGCATTAAATTTAATTTTGAAGAATTATAAAATGGGGAAATTAAATAATTAAAAACAAATTATAGATATATCACATAATTTAGTCTTGTTTTAATATATTAGATGTTGTTCAGTATAATATATGACTCTCATACTATATGTTAAACCATGTCATAAACATACACGCTAAACAACTCGATTTTGACGTATCAATAATTTACACGAAAACTGTACATCGCATCGCTTTTATCGGCGTAACATTCACTCACAATGTAACAATCACACGCAATAAACATTTTTTTTATCACACAATTCTTACACCATTTTGCTTCTCTTATAGCGTCACGCAATAAAATAGACAATTTATTTTTAACGATTTTAAAAAAAAGGACACTTCTTTTTAACAATGAAAGGAACATATATAAAATACGGACTATCATTATAAGTAACGATCACACGCGAACGAATCCTGAAATGCTTTCGTCTTCGCAAAGCTATATTTTTATTTCCAGAGCAGATATGTTAACTTTGGGAGTAAAATATACAATTTGTGAAATCAAGTAAAATTTATAGAAATTGATTTTGAGCGATCTAAATACTTATACTTTTTGCATTCAAATATTTTGATCTTTAATGTACGTTTTTGCACAATTTATGAATCACTGTTACATATTATGTGTGTATTAAGTCACAATATTTGGTTATGTTAAATCACAGTGATATGTCCTGTATTCAATAATGATTTTAAAAATTCATCTGTATTTAAAAGTAACAAGATACGTTATCATCATTTTCCTTAAATATCTTTTAAATTCTAAATGCTCTTCTCATCGAAGCTTTGTGCGAAGAGGAAAACGATTATTTGAATCTAAACGATATTAAAAAACATTCAAGATAAGCAAGATAAGCGACGAAAAAATTTATTCCCCGTCACATCTAACCACTAATTATAATAATTAGCACGCACAACAGCATTTAAAATCATTGCCATATCGAATAATAAAGATCACAATTGATCTTGATGTATAAACGTACACTTTGGTTTACGAATACATTATATAATTACACGCAAGACTCGATTCTTGGTCGGACGAGTCCATAAATCGGAGACAATTCCCTGTAAACGCGATTCCAAGACAAGAGCTGAGAGTTCTTATATCTACGTAATTATTGAGGAATTATCCGTCTCGTTAATTGAAGACCTGTAGTAATTTTGTTGATAAACGAGATTCAAAACATCTCGATAACAAGCAATTATTTCTTCAGTTACATTTACAATTTCGTTTCTTATAAATTTATGAAATCATTATTATATAATTATCGATATTTCTTATTAACAAAAATAAGCACAAAAAAACAATCTTATAGCTTAAAATACTGCAAAAAAAAAAAAAAAAAAACAATTCTTTAATTCGGTAATACATTTTTGATACGTATACGTACGATATTCTAAATTTAACAAAAGTGAACAATATTATTATATCTACATCAATAGCACCGTCATTTTATCCTTCATTTCAATGGATCGTTATCCAATTATCATCCGCAACAAGTATATAGCCATTATAATATATTCATTATCAACGTTAATATTTATATTTGAAAACATAAAATGTGATTGGCCACAGGTCTTCAATTCATAATGGAAATTTCACAAAGAAAAGAAAATCAATTTTCGTCGCAATTCCTTCGGATTTCGCATATTCTATCATCGTCCTTCTTCTTCGCCCTCTCTGGACATCAAAGATCTGCCATAGTAAGTATACGTACAATACGATCAGGTACAAGAGTAGCATCTCGGGGTTGATCTGTTTTATTACCAAAGAGAGGACGAAGCACAATCATCTTAAATTAATCATCTTCAGCCTCCTTGATTGATTTTTCTTATTTCATCGACGAACAGCATATAAAACGTACATGATAATCTCGCTAAAAACAATGTTGTTTTTTTTTTTAATATTCGAATAGCGGAACAAATTATTCGCGTTTAATTTAAACAATAATGTTATATATAAATAGCATTCGCAAACGATCGAGACTTACATCAATAACCCCTCAATCTAATAAATAATTTTTTCAAAATTACTACTTTGAAAAATTATTTTCTTTGCAATTACAATATTATGAATCATCCATGTGAAGAATGTTTCTCATCACTTTTTATATAATTAATATATTGATTAATATATAACTAATAAATGAACTCACAGTGTATTAATTATATAATATCTAGTATCGAGACGAAGATGCAAATCTTTTCAAATATGTGACAATGGTCATTACCTGCTGCTCTCTTTTGATATCGTGTTTTGTTTGTTCCTCGTTAAAAACGAATATTTATCCATGTACAATTGTCTCCATTTTCATATTTTCACTTCTCCATTGAAATAACAACTACTAATCCGCCTGTTCGCAAGTTTCTTCGGTATCAGATAGTGTCCTGTCGTGATTCGTACAATTGTCTGATTTACATCTGGATTCCGCGATCTCAAGCCAATGTTGTTTATTCTTTCTAACACCTTCCACCAACGGTTCCAATTTATCCGATAATAATGCGAATGCCTGTTTAGAAAAATTTATCTTATATTTAAAAAACATTTGTTTTAGTTTTAAACGAAATATTTTTTACATGTTGATGAAAAAAAAATTTTTGAATATCAGAACATCATATGATATTTTATATAGGGCTCAAACGGTATTTTACAATTGTCGATAGAGTAGAAAGCTAGTTTTACCTCGTAAATAGGAAGGCAAATCGAATCGATGAAGCCAACTTGCATCATTGGCAGTTGGTCCTCCTTCTCCCTGTTCATAATGTCCTACAATATCACACGAGTAATGATGCTAATTTTCACATACATGTTAGGCTGTCATCAATATATGCCGAGCTATGTTACGATTGAATTATTAAAGTTTAATACATCAATACATACAATAGGAGTAATATTGAGAGTCCGCCTTTCGATATCTCCTTGTTCAAAAAATTCACTGCTAACTAATTCCGCCACTCTCTTCTCAACTTCCCAAGGTTTAGTTATCGCCGCCAAATCACACACGGTCATCAACATTCCCCTCAAAAGTTCTCGATGATCACTGTAAGCCCAATTGTAGCCACCACCTTGAGCTAGATTAAGGAAAGCACCCCTCTTTCGGAAATAAACTGCTAGGTCAGTAGAAAGGATTGCTTCTTCAAGAACTTTTACCACACGAGAATATTCTTCTGGAGATAAATTTGATAAAATTTGATTTCCTTGACTACTCAGTATCATGAGACACTGATCAAAATGATGATGTTCCATCGTTGACGTTGAATAAAGTTGTGCTAATGGCGAAGATGCTCTTAAAAAAAAAAAAAAAAAAAAAAAATAATTAAATTATTCCCCTCTTATTAATGAAATTTGTGTCACAATGGAAAATATTTTAGCTACATACATTTTTTTCTAAACTACACACTTACTTGATTTGAAAAGAATTGTTCGTACCACGATGATCCAGATCATGACACAAACAGGCAATAATCAATGCAAGACATTCAATTTCTCCAAAAATTTTCCACCATTGCGTGGCCTGAACGATAATAAATTTATTGTTTATTTTTAATATAAAATAAATTAATTTTATACAATATAAACGTAATATATTTAATTCGTTAAATTTTCTTACAGTTAAAATGGCAAACATCATTTGCGCAACATTGAACGCATGACGCCAATTATGATATGTGACATTTCGGTAATTCTTTTTTACACTAAGAAGCCAACGACAAAGGACATCGTAATCAATATGAAAACGTTCGACGAAATCAAGATCTAAAAACATTCGAAGACACGCTGTTAATGTTTGGTCGTCTTCCATATAAATGTCATCGAACTTGAAATCGTGTAATTGAAAATGCGCAGCAGAAGGCACTCTTAAACCCTGAAATTTAATTCAATTAAATGTTTAATCAAATATAATCAATCTTATAAATTGAAAATTTTGTCCTCTCTTGAATATTTTTAATAATTTAAAAATCGAACTTACTCTTAATCTTTGTGCATCCTCCAATGATGCGGAAGCATGATAACTAAGCACTTCTAAAGTAACGCTTTGTTTGGCCATTGCTATCACAGCTTTTTCATACCTGATAAATAAAACAAAATTAACATTAGAAAATTCATTCATTCCAAACGAATTAATTATTATATTAATTTAATCGATATTAATTCTTTTTTTTTACATATTTACATATGTGTATTGTGAATTCCCATGCCGCAGAAAATAGCAAACGCCTCGACAAAGTTCTCATCATTCTTTGTAAAAGCAAGATCGTCGAACTTGTTGATCAGTTGAATAACACCAATAATCTGACCCGAGGAATTCTTGATAGGCATGCAGAGAATAGTACGATGTCTAAAACCAGTGCCATCATCTACGGAAGGATCAAATCTTGGATCTTCGTAGGCGTTCGGTATATTCACGGTCTAAGAAAATTTGATTAAAATAACTCTAATTACAAATCGTCCATCGTATCAAATGTAGTATTAAATATATTATTCCGATCGATTAATCGGAACATTTACCTCTCCAGTTGTAGCAACGTAACCGGTGATGCCGACATTTATAGGGAATCTGCTCTCGAATGGACTGCATGAACAAAACCGAATACATATAAGGTTTCCGAGGAAATTGAATTATTGCTGGTAATTGAGTGAAGAGAAATGAGAACGTAATTACAAACTTCATTCACCTAGTGCGAGAATCTGAATCCTCGCCGGTGAGGTCATTCGCCTCGAAATCAAACACTCGTGAGAAACTGCCCTTCGATGCCTTATGCACGAGGAGAACCTGTACAAAATATTAGGCTTATATCAAAGCTTTTTTTGTTTCCATTTATCTCATTACGAATGAGTCGTGTAAAATGATTATTACCTGTACTCGTTGACACTGTATCAAGGATTGCGTATGGGTCAAAATCCTGAATACCATATGCTCTATTGTGCTCTGCTCTTCGAAAATCATCCTAGCTAGGTCTAAAAGAACCTGGAATGTAAGAAAGAAAAAAAAAAAAAAAAAAAGAAAAGAAAGAAAGAAACGTGTAAAATTAAAAATTATTTGACAAATGAAATGACATAATGAAGAAGGGAAATGAAAATATCAATAATTAGGAGAATGTAAGTAATTTTACAGAATTTATATGTATATTTATTTACTGACCTGATTTCTTTTAACCTCTAATTGACTCTTTTCATATAGCTGCGCATTCCTTAATCCAATACCACAGAATTGTAAATATCCAGCAAAAACTTTTTCGTCTTGCGCAGTAAATTGACTTTCACCACCGAGTTTGTTGATTACTTGTGCAACGCCGATAACGTCTCCGTTGCAATCCTTTATTGGCATGCACAAAAGAGCTCTGGTTCTGTATCCCGTCAATGCATCAATTTCGCGATTGAACCTTGAATCCTAAGAACACACAACATTTGATGAAATCTTGTATGACATTTAATGTATCATATGTCATAATAGATAATGTTTTAGAGAATTTATTTAAAAAAAAATAATTATAATTTAATAATAATAACATGTATAATTTATATATATATATATATACATAATACTATATAAAATACTTCACAAAGTTTACAGCAAGTTTAAACACACTTAATAACAAGTTCTCTATTAAGAATTAGATTTGAAGTGTAACAATTTTAATTGGAATAATAATCATCCGTTTCCATAACATATAACATTATTATCTAGAATTTTAAATTTTTACAACCTTACAACCTCAAGAAAATCTTTCCAAGATAATATCCATAAATTTATTTGACATGAATAGAAAAATGTGTTCTAAAAAAAATACCATCGTGTAATGTTTAACAAAGAATATTTGTGTTACGGATATTTTCACAGATAAATAAAATTCTTGCCTTGTAAGCATCTGGTATGTTAACAGGTTCCCCGCTTTCGGCAACGTATCCGACGATTCCTGTGCCCCAGGGAATTTTGATCTCATCTTTTTTTTCCATTTCAAGTAGCGTCGATCTCGAACACACGTCGAACAACTTAGAGACTAGACATCTGCTCCTCGAGTATCCACGTTGCTCCGTTCTTCCTGGATTCCCATTATCGTTTGGATTGTTCGACGTGGAGTCGTGATTTTGCGAGGACGGCATGCAGCCACCGCCTCTCTCCCCCTGCACCAGGAACAAGGAACCACGATCCGCGTGTAACAAGGTACTCACGTTTTGCAGGATTTTGTGGCACAATGATCTCACATCCAATTCATTACAGATATCCTTCACCTACAAAATTCAAGGTGATCAGAAACAAAATATTCTCGAATCGAAAAAGTTTTCTTTATACAAAAATTTTAGCACTTTAGGTGCTTACTTTTTTTTTTTTTTTAAATAAATATGGTAAATAAGTATATAAATAATAAATATAAATATGTATATAGAGAAAAAAGTTACGAATATAAAATAGGATAGAAATATTTATGTGAACGATTGTGTATAATAATAAATATAATAATAAAATATTTTCTCATGGCAATTTTATTATATCTTCCTCTTGTTTTATTGACACTTTATGTTTCGTATGACTGTAATAGAAATTCTAAGCTTTTGCTTATCAAGATGAGATATACTTTAATTCATTTATATTATGATTTTTAAGAATAATTAAAAGATTGAGTTATTCTTATATAATTATAATCTTAGTATCTCAAGGAAAATTTAAAGTATTCGATAATGATACGAGAAAATTGACAGAAATACGAGATAACTTGACTAATGTAAGCGATGTAATTAAAATTTCTCAAAGATTTTAAATTATAAGGATATTATCACGATATTAATTATAATTACAAGAAAAGATCCAGAAAACACAATTTGCATATTTGATTGTTTCATTTAACACTATCTGTTAATTTTCTTTCAAAAATAATACTATCTCGTGTTACCAGCCAACGCATAATCCAATTTTCATTAATAAAAGTTCTGAAAAAGATCCATGATATTTTTTTATCCCAATTCTAATCCATATTCATATCTTTCCTCCATACTTAATCGACCAAGTAAACGATCTATTCCTTCTTTCACTTCTCCACGATTATAATTTCAACCCGTACCAATTCGAATATGAGATCTTTCTCGTCGAGATGCCTCAACTCGTGTCTGGACCGTCTCTGGGGCCTGCCCGCGTTTCCGGAGCCAACCTGCTGACCTCCAGGCTGTCCTGAATCCCCGGGCGAAACGCTGAGGAACGTGGGCGTCCCGTCGATCGTGTTCACGATCGGCTTTAGCAAACCGCCGCGCTCGAACTCGTGTGCCGAGATTTTTCGTACAGGAGTGGTGGCACCTGATCCGCCTGATCCACCACGGCCAGAGGACGACGCGCCACCTGCATGGGTCGGGCTCGACAATTCGACGCAGCTGCTCGACGAGGACGTTGGCGTCGCGTGCGAGACCAACCACATGTCTACCGTCTGTCTCGTCACTTTCCTGAAATGCATTGTTATTGTTATTGTTGTTGTTTCAGTTTTTTTTTTTTTCTTAGTATTTTGTTTGTACGACAGAGATAGACGCAAGAGAGAACATGAGTGGGCCTAAAATTTGAAAATTCATATAATCATTTTTCTATGGGAAGGATTGTGATTTAAATTTTTTTTTGGTAAGTTAAAGAGAAATACACGTAAAGCTAAAATTTATCTGCAATTTTTAAAATTGCAAAGAAAGAAAAAAATTTTAATTCAAATGAAAAGAAATTTAATTTTTTTCTTTTGAAGTAGAGAAAAATATGCATGAAACATGAGTGAATTTAAAATATTTGGAAATTTTTGGAATTGTAAGATGCAAAATTCTGAATTTATGGAGAATATGATATTATAGGCAGTGTTATTATTTTAAATAATTTATAAATTCGATTGTTTTTTTTTTGAAGTAAAGAAAAATATGCGTGAAATATTGGCGAGTTTAAAAAAATTTGGAAATTTTTAGAATTTAATAAGATGCAAAATTCTGAATTTATGGAGAAATGTGACATTGTGCAATATTATTATTTTAAATAATTAATAAATTCGATTGTTCTTTTGAGAAATAGAGAGAAATACAAGCGGATTTAAAATTTATACAAATTTTTACAAATTTGGATCTCTCAATTTTGAAATTTCTTGCCAACAACACTTTTGGAAGAAAACTCCTTTTTCCATCCTTTTTCACCGTTTACCTTTTACCTTCTGTTTACGATACATTTAACGGGAGAAAAAGTTTGGATGAAATATAATATTGTTATATGAAAGACTATTGAATTACGTCTGCCAAACTTGTATCGTTTGAAAGCGTCGAATTGAATTCGTGGTGACTTTTATACCTTCCATTCATGCCCTTGATATCTTTTTAAACGAGTATATCCATGGAATAGAGCAGTGAGAAGGAATTATATATTGTCTTCGGAGAACAATCGATAGATACTAAGAAATTAAATGATATAGGATTACAAATTTCATTAGAAATAACTAACTAACTAACTAGAATTATAATTAAGCAAACTATCTTAAGAGGAATTGGAAGTGTTAAAAGTAGAAAAATAAAACTGTTACCAGTCCTTTTTTTCACTGTAACAACAATCACAGATAAAGAAATTCGAAAGATAAAGTAAAAATAATAAGATATATCTTTTATTGCCAAAATTTTTGTTAATCTCAATTACCTGCTTGCAACACATAAATACACAATAAACGCTGTGTTTTAATTCATTATTTATTTATTTATTTTTTTTTTTCACCAATTTAATGTAATCACATTAATATTGCAAATCACAGTATTGTTGATTTACTCGTATTCCAAGAATTTGCATTGTAATTTCCTTAACACTGACTGATTCGTGATCTATCGATCGTTGAATAATCCGACTTGTCAACAGAAAAATAGAGACGGACAAGTATTGCAAAATCTATGATGGATCTGTTGAAAAATTTGAAAAGCAAACAGGTAAACACACACGGAACAAGAGGTGAACGCAAAGAATTTAAAAACGTGTTTTCCCGGCCATCACTTACCATCCAGATTTAAATTCCAGATAAAATGTATCCCACTAATCATTACTTATCATATTAATTATGACTTACTATAACATTTCATCTTGATCTCCCGCGATAACGATCGAGTTAATTTCCAATCCGGATAAATTAAATCGAATCTCCTCGCCTCGCATAAATTACTCGCTCTGACTGTTTCAACAAAACAAATCGAATAAATTTCAATAATATTTTCTAAAGGAAAGACAGAGATAACGAGAAAGAGAAGCTTCCTTTTCTTCTTCGATCGAGCATTGTCTTCGATCAACGCTGCAAATTCAAATTAAAATTAATTTATCGAGCCGATAATAATAATAATATCTTATTTAATTAACGGGATAGAAAGAAGAGCACAACACGAGAACGACACAAACCTGAGAAAGTAATCGTTGACGAAGTCGGGATGTTCGTCGAGCCATGCCTCCATGCGGGCGTATTCCGGATCGTAGACGGCGGAAGTGGAGGAATAGTAACCACCACCGGTGGATTTTCCATCTTGCACCTGTTGCAACGCCCCCTGGCCGGCCATAGCGGTCTGCACCCCTTGCATCCCCTGCACACAAGGAGCTGCCGTCTCCGCCGTCATCCTCGGTTCTTCGATGCTCCGCAAGTGCAGGCCTACTTGACAGGCAAATTGTTATCACTGCGTCATCTTTATATAACTTTTCCTCTCCAACTTGCTAGAATGATCTTAATAACTAAATTATATTCATCTTTGTTAAATTTAATCTCCTCCAATAAAACTTTCACTCATTGAATTAATTATTAAATCTTATGTATAATTAATTTCGAAAACTGTAATATAATTTTTAACTTAAATTAAAATGTAAATAAAATAATTAAATTATTATTCGTAAATATATATATATATATATATAATTCGTTACAACTATTTTGATATGAAATTCATTAATTGAAAACGAAAGAAAAAAAAATTAGAAGTAATAAATAAATAGTTACGTTGACAAGTCACTCGTGGTTTTTCTGTTTATAGCAATAGAAACGAAAAGTGAAACTTAAAAAAAGAAAAAAAAAAAGAAAGAAAAACAGTCGAAAGTGAGTTTAAAAATTTGAAACCTGGTTCATCGAACAACTCTCACGTATGCGATGAACATTACAGGTATATCTCGATACCTTATTTCATTTAGGAGATACTCTCCTAATGTAATTCAATTACGTAACTGATTTAATGAACAACCGACACCGTGATCAAAACTTTCTAAAACAACTTCTCCCGCTAGAAACAAGAAGATTCAACACTGTAAACGTTTCACCTTTTGATAACCAATAACATTATCTCAGCTTGTTCAACTCGTTCATTCAAAACCGCTATTACGCGTTAAGAAATCAAAAAGACGTAATAAGAGGTAATAGCCTTTCGCAAAACCGATTCATAAATATAAAACTGGCGGAGAATTTCTTTTTCTTTTTTTCTTTTTTTTTTTTTAATACTTTATCTTCAATCCCAATCGGGATTAATATTATACGATTAACCTTTCGCAACTTTATCTACGAGACGTATATATTTACGACCACATATATTTATTTAATTAATTCAAATCGAATCGATATTTTATATTGAATCGATATCGATTCCTTTTAATTTTAATTACCCTCAATATTAGAACTTAGAATCACAGATTGGAACGAACATTTGCCGCGTTATGACCTCGTTAAACACTGTCGAACGTACAACGAAGATGGAATATAAATTGCACCATACACGGTGCAAGTAGCAATGCCGGAAATTCCGAGACGGCATGGCGTCGCCGATCAAATTTATATTCGTTCCACGACCGACTGACTCAACTTTTCGAAACGTTTTGTTCGTTGTCCACGTTGGCCGTGGACAAAAAAAAAAAAAAAAGAAGAGAATTCTCCAATTACAATAGAAATTTGCAGGAAAACAATTCGACAAATTTCCTTCGAATTCGATTCAATCCGCTATATTTTTATCGATATATATATATATATTTTTTTTTATCAATTTCCATACGTTTAAAACGCGTAAAATAAGGTGGAAGGAAAACGAGACGTTTGGCTGCAACAGCCAACGATTGTTCCTCTTCGCGCTCAACCGGTATAAAGGCATCATAAATTTTACGACGTTATTTTATGCACCATAAAACAAAATCGAAGAATACACCGCAGATACAACACACCACGTATCCCACGTATTCCACGTTTAGAAAAATTTCGCGAAAATCTTACTGGTCCCGACAACGAAGATATTTTTTCTTCTATCATCGATTTGAATAAAATTCAATCAGAACGAATATTTTTCTCCCATTTTATTTTATTATTTCGACGATGTGATAAAAATTTAAAATTTTATTTATATATACAAATTAAATGGATTGTTCAATTAAATTATTGGTAGTTCGGCAAAGGGGATATTTTTTTTATCAATTTGAATAATTCAAATGGATGATATACGAAGCATATTTTCTCACATTTATTACACTTTGGACAAATTTGAAATGATAAATTTGCGAAAAGGCTTCTTCATTAATTCGAGATGAAAACGTAATGTTCAATTTATCTTGACAAAGACTAATAGAGAAGCGTGGCGCATTTTTTATGCGTCTTTTACCGTGAAACAAGAAACGCAAAATGACCATCTCTCCTTGGCCACTATAAATTTTTAGGTTATGAAGGAAAAAGATCCACCCGTTGACAGAATGAGTACGTCGGTGTTGCGCGAAGAACTTAAGCTTTCACAACTTTTTTTTAAAGACGTTAAGAAGACGGAAAAAGACTTTGTAAATAAATCGTACTGTGGTTACATGTCGCTATCGATCGGCAATTGGGAAAATTGACAACAGCGCGAACAAAACTTGGGCTTGGTCGATTAATACGATCCCCCGCGTTATCGACGTTCGTCAGTTTAACACGAGAATTCGTTCGGGATGAATAATTTCATGGATCCTCTATCGAAAGCTCGTTGGAAAAAAAAAAAAAAATCGATGAATAATTGTTTCGCGCACGATTTAATATTCGTGTCATGTGTGTCGCATAATGTGTGCGATCGATACTACGTTTGTCAAAAGAATGTTTGAAATTACGCGCGACACTTTTACGACCCATAAGAGGAGGACTTCAGTATTTTTTTTTTTTTACAAGTAATAATATTCAAACCCACACACGTATTTCCAACTTACTCGCGCGAAAATACAATTAACAAATTAAGATTTTTCATTTTGTACCGTGTAATAATTAACTGAAACGTATATACGTATTAGACAGTGAGTTAAGAGATATTAAATTGGGTCGTAAATTCCTTGAAAATTTTTCTTTTTACGATGCTGCAGGAAACGATAATGAACAATATTGAATGTAAAAAAAAAAAAAAAAAAATACATTAAATCTAATTAAATATTTATGGATAACTAGAACTATCCATAACGCGTCGAGGACAATTTTTCAAAATTAAAAAATGTGCGTTGAAAAATTGAAATTAAGTTTTTTTGAAAGTAATTTCGAGAATAAATTTTAATTTATCGTTGGAAAAAAAAAAAAAGAAAGAAAAGGAAACACGCACAATTTTTATAAATGCACATCGTCTTTCCAGAATTCTGACAACGACGATAATAACGTGAACACGGAGATATATCCTTGATCCCTGCGTGATCGAGGAAGATATACCATTTCCTTAACGCTACGCTCGGATCGTAACTCTTCATTTTCACGAAAGAGCCAGCCCAGGCCAGGTTGATGAAAACGTTTCACGCAATAACTCGAAAGAAAAGGGGTTGGACTGAGCAAACTGTTCCCGATCTTTATTCCTCCCCGAGGTATATTAAACCGCAAACATTCGCTGAAATCATCTTGATTTCGCACCAGTTTGAATTAACGCTGCATCGAAAGGATGCAGTGTCATTAATCAATGCATCAGAAATATATATATATATATATATATTTAAAACAGAACAGAAATATACGAATATAATGTATACAGTGATGATAACGAATAAAGGATAATAATTTTAATTTATATTTTAGTTGCGTATGAAAAAAAAAAAAAAAAAAGAACGAAATTTCGTTCGAATATTATTAATCAATAATTTTTATGCATAAATCGATTAATAAGATTAATGATAAATAATACGATAAATTAATTTACAATAAATTAATATTTGCAACGATTATCCGCGAGCAAAACCCATTTCTTCGTCATGTGGCGTATTAATAAGTCTAGAAACGTCGTTAAATTAAATGATAATGTCTATTGTCTCCTGGAATTCTATTGTCAATCCTTATTCCCCGCGACAATTGTAATCAGTGGCAGGAAATCGCATATACGGGTTAAGTGTTATTCCTTGTGCTATTCTTTTGTGCTTCAATTATTATTTTGCATCCGATAGTTTATTTAAACGATTATTTTTTATTCAACACGCGTTACAAAACGCGAATACGCCATGTCCAAAAAGGAATCGCGAAAATGAAAAAAAAAGTAAAAAAAAAAAGAAACAATAACCGCACGTGTGCCTTTTTTGCATATCATAATTATTCATCCGTTAATTCATCTTCCGTGTCATTTCATTTTGTTTCCTTATCAATAATTAATGAAGATCTCGTTATAAATACAAATAAATGCTAAAATATATATATATACATATATATATAATGTACACGTAAACATAAACAAAAATATTAACAATGATTTTTAATTAAGGAGAGAGAAAAAAAAAAAAAGAAATAAAAATTTTCGCTTCCGACGATCGAGAGAAGATCGAAAACAAAGAAACCTAACCTCTAAACGAGAGGTGTCGCAAACTGTTCCCACGACTTAAAAGATAAAAACGAACGGTTAGGAATAAGTTGAGCGCGGTTAGTTTCCTCCCATGGGCCGATACAAAGGGGCACTACTACGGAAAGGTTTATTATCTCGTGTCACGTGACCCCCCCCGCCCGCCCCTCCTCCTCCCCCCGCCCTTCGCCTTTTTGCAATCGAGATATCCAAAGCTGCGTTCGACGTTGCGAAGGATTATGAGACGCGTTTACTCATCCGTGCCGAGTTTCTCGAGCGTTCAACGTTGAATTAGCATGGGACTTTTTGCAGTGGGAACAAACCAGCAACCGTAGGAATTTTACCGGTGGCCGTGTTTTTCCACGGGTCCCCGTCGTGGCTTCGTCCACCGGTGTACCGATTCACGTCGGGGTTATTCCATCCTTTTGTATTTTAAACCACAATACGTCAACGATAAAATATACGTCAACGATAAAGGAAAAATTTTGATGGACGAGTTTGAAAATCAATTAATATAATCCTTTCTTAATCGTTTCTCTTTCTTTCTTTCTTTTTTCTTTTTTTTTTTTTTTAATTCTTGGTATTTGAAATCTTGAGAAAGGGGATTTTCCAAAGGCTCGATCTCTTCTTTTTTTTTTTGTTCAATTTTTATAACTAAATTATTAAAATTCGATGCCAATGTATGATTCAACGTATATTCGTTATTATATAATAATATTTAAATTTATGATATAGTAGATTAATTTATAACATGCAGTATTGCATGTTACAAATATCTGTAATAATTAATAATATGGAAAAGTTATACGGTTAAATTTAATTTCCTATCTTGTTACTAATATAATATAATTATAAAAAAACACAGCAAGAC